AGTTTTTTGACAGTACTACTATAAAGACTAGACCTAGGAAATAGATACTAATGTAAAGAAATTAGGCAGACAAGAACCTTAGATAAAAGATACTATCAACCAGACTGCCAGATTTCAGACTAAAAAAAAAAAAATATTGGGTTGGTCTCAATATACTAAGAACAAATTATAGTCCTTCTGAACTATCTGAATTAGGAATTTGAAGTCAAAGCAGGAGTATACTAAAAGTACTAAAGATATGCTATAAAATCAGTACTAGGGTTTGAATGAATTTTGTAAAGATAGTTCTTGTTTGTATTCTAAAAGTGAGTAGATAGTTAACAATAAGGGTTTCTTGTGTTTTACTAGCAGATGACATACTCTGAAATGTATAATGGCCTGAGAACTAGTACAAAAAAGATAGGTACTATACTGCTCAGACAGTATATCAGTTAGGTATATATAAGGGATTAGTTGAAATTATATTATAATAAGGCAGATGATCAGAAGGTTTAAATGAATAATAGCTAGCTGGTTTAAAAAATTTAAAGAAATGATATTAGAAAACAAGAACAATAGACATTAAAATCTGAATATATATTACCAAACAAAAACAAAAAGGCACTCTAAACATTACTTGATAGTTGCTTAAGAGACAATAAAAAAAAAAATAGATAGTATTAAAATTATCAAAAAAAAAACCTTCAATAATTTGTCAATAAGAATGGTAGTTATGAGCACACCAAAAAAAGTATTTACAAAACATTAGAAGATTAAATCAGTTAAAGGCAAAACAAACCAAGTTTTTAAAAAATGTAAAAGATATAGTTTTAATCATATAAGAGAACTAAAAAGTTGTAAAAAATAGATAATAGAGAAGACATTTAAGATTTACTGTCAAGATTTATTAGAAAAGGTGAAGACCTACTACTTATAATAGAAAAAAAATAATATATAACTAGTAACAAATAAACAGAACTAAAATAAATGAGTTTAAAGTTTAGCTCAAAAATATAATATATCATGATATAAAAATAGAATTAATTAAAAAACAGTAACTGACAAAGAGCTAAAAGAACTTTTTATTTTTAAGAACTAAAAAAACTAATTAAATTTAAATAAAGAATTTATCTTTTATATAGATGGATTACTCAAGAAAGTAGTAACAAACAATGCTTTAAATATTAATTACATAAAAGCAAGCTGGATAAAGTTGATGCAGAAAAAGTTGACAAAAATGTTATAGATGCCAAAATTGGCTTTTATTAACAAAATTAGAGCTACTAGCTATTTGGTTAGTAATTTTAATAGTACTAAAAAAAAAGAAGAATTAAGATCTATACAGATAGCATAGTAGCAATATCAGATCTTAAAAGAAGAAAAAAGCTAAAAAGAAGCAGACAATAAATCAAAGAAAAGAATTATAACTTGAAAAGAAGTATAATAGAATTACTTGAATTAAAAAAGTTAAAGTTAGAATTAGTTAAAATTAAGAGATATAGTAATAATAAATGGAATACTAGAGTAAATAAAATAGCAAAAGAGTAAAGTAGTATAGAAAATAAAAATAAAATTATAGTTATGCCATCATCTAGTTCAAATATATTATTCTGTTAAAAAAAAACAATTGTAAAAAGGCTAACAAGACAATTTATCAAAGATATTTTGGATTTTAAGATTGGCTTAAAATGGAGATTTACATTAACTATCCAAAAATTAAAACCAAATAAAGAAAATAAAGAGCATGACTGGTTATTACTAAAGAAAAAAGTTAGAAGTCAAAGTAAAGTCAGATGTACAAGTATAAAAAAAATAAAGAAATCACAACTTTAATCAAATATGTTAATAAAAAACTACTAGTACTGAAAACTCTAGCAAAGAGATATCTAAACATATACAAAAAGTCATATTGCATTCTATGTAATAAAGACTATAAAGAAGACTAAGAACATCTAGTTATATTTAAAAGTCATGAAAAAAATAGGCCATTACAGAAAATTCAGCTATTAATTTAGTCTGAACAGTGCTCTCAAAAGAAACCTAAAAAGAAACAAAAAATTGAAACTAACAAAAATCTTATAAAGAAATTTAGCAGAAAAGAAAAAAGAATATAGATCCAAAAGCATAAAGAAGCTAATTCAAAAAAAAGCCAAAACAGCAATACAAAACCTTATTCAAACTTCCAAAAAAACTAAAGAATTTATAACAATATAGACAAATGCAGCATAGAATGGCTTCTTTGAAAATATATAGAAAAAATACTATGAAGCAGTTACTAACTAGCAAAAAGCAAATAGAATTAGCTTTGCAGACAAAAGAAAGAAAGAAAACAGTTTAAAAAGTGATGCAGTTAGCAATCTAATAAAAAAAATATATAATAGAGTTATAGAAGAGAATTAAGACTAAACTATAAAAAAAGAAAAGAAAATACTAAATTCTTGGTTAGGTTTGGTTATTAATTATATAGAAAAAAAAGTAAAGCCATTTTTTATAGCTCTAATAGTTAGCTTGATATAGTCTTTTGGGCAAATTAACTTTTGGCTAGACAGCAAACCACTTCTGAGCACTCATAGAAGCAGTCAAGAGATGTTAAGCCAAAATTTAAGCCAACTTTGTACAAAATTATATATATAAGACTTTTAATAAAGGTGATTGGCAAGACTGCCAAAGATTAAAAAAAAAAAAAGTAATTAAGTTGTTATCTTCTAAGCAATAGATTCAAAATTCAATCTCATTAGTAATAGAATTTTAAAAAATAATTCTAATCTGACAATTTAAATAGAGTATTTGAAGTTGTAATTTTGTAATATTGATTGTATTAAAACTAAATTTAAAAAGTATAAACTAAATAAAAAGCTAAATGCCAGCAACTTGAATAGAAGTATTTAAAATATTAATTCTGTAATTCTGTTTGTATTAAAACTAATTTAGAAATGTGCAATATTACAAAAATAAATCTAAAAAATATATACTAAATAAGAAGTTCTATTTAGAAATTTTGAGTAAAGAAATAATATAATTTTTAATAATATCATTTGTAAAAATTTTAATTCAGAAAAAGAAACCTGAAGCAAATAACCTATATAGTCAAGAACCTTTAAATAAAAAGAGTTTACCAATCTGATTAATTAATTAATTTAAACATAAAATTATATTATATAAAGCTAACTGAATTAGCAATATAGAAGAACTTGTAAAAGTATACAAATTACTAGTAAGGTTGTAAAAGAAGGTACTAAGATTGTATAATCTCTACAAAAATAGTAGTTTAATAGTTAGTTTAGATTACAAGTATTCATCTTAGCTATAGTAAAATATTAAGTTTATAAAAAATTAGAATAACAAAAGACATTGGTAAATTTAATACAAAGTCAAAAGTTTTCTATATAAGTAAATGAATTAAAGACTTAGTAATTATAGTATATTTGCATCAGTAAAAACTAAATCAGTTATTTTAAAATACATTTACAACTCTTTTTATTGATTCTTAATTTCAAGATAAACAAAAACAAAATACAGAAATAACACAAAACCAAATTAACAAAGAATACTTAAATGTCTAATAAAATAGTTGCACAAACTAGAAATATATATAATATCTTAGAACATAAAAAATAAAAAACATTACTTTAGAATAGCAACAAGTGCTTTGACAGAAAAATAAAAGTTTTTAAAAAATTAATATTAATTCTAAAAAAATAAAAATAAGTTATGTATTAATTTGTATAATAACAATCAATAAACAACAAACAAGACATATGCCAAATTAGAAAATTAACAAGTACTAAAAAACATAAATATAGTATAAAAGATAAACAAACAGATATAATAAGAAATAATTTAATACAGATTTCTGATTAATGTTGGGTTAAACATTGGATATGAACATTAGACAACTCTTGTCCAATTCAGTCCAATCTATTGGACTAGAAGAAGTTGGATATTGAACATTGTATAATATTAAATTATTATATAATCATATAACAATCAACCAAACAAATTACAAATTTTTATTTATATTACTGACAATAAAATAAAGTTAAGAGTAAAGACAAGTATTTTAAAATTATATATAAACTTAATAGTAAATTTTTTTATATTTGATTTTATAAAAAATTATATTAAGTAACCTAATTTTAATCATTAAGTAAAAGTTATAAAGTAGGTCTTTCTAATTTTAATAATAATAAAATTATTAAAATAGGTTAAAAACTTATTAAGATATAAATTTTTAAAAATTAGAATATAAAAATTATAAAATAAAATTAACTAATAGGTTTATGTAAATTAATCAATTAAATTCTTTATTTTTGTATTACCTAAGTAAACTTTATTATATATACAAGTATATTTTTTTAAAATAATACAATATTTCAAAATTTTACTATAATACTTAAATAATTTTATTTATATTATAAAATTTTTTTATTAATTAATTAAAAAATAAAAAAGTTTTATTAGTAACATATATCAAATTTAGATAAAAATAAAAATATTATTATATAAAAATGATCTATATGAACCTACTTTTAAACTCTCTATAAATGCATACACTCTTTAAATGCATGCTTCAATTCAGACCCAACTATATAGATAACCTTCATAAATGCATTTTTTTTATTATTCTTTAAGTGCATGATGTTAAAGTTTGATCCTAAGCATGTGCACTTATAAAGGTTTTACTGCATTATATATAACAAACTAAACTTGTATTTGCACACAATCTATATTTTTTATAAAAAAAATTTGAAAGATTTAATAATTATATTTCTCATTATTAAATATATATTTATTTAAAATTTTATTTTTTTAAAAGAAATTTATATTTTGGTGCACCATGCACTGTGGTGTACCCCTTTGTTCAGTATTACATCTGATCATATAGATCATGTATTGCAAAAATCTTATACTATATGTTATTGGTTATGCATTCATTATTCACATTATTTACTCATTAAACATGTTTAACTTACTTCATTGTATGTTAAATGAATATACACCTAACATACCTTAATTTTGTTATGGACAGATCACAATTAACAGTAACTTCTTTCAACCATTTAAGACAAGAACACCTATACTCTGTCAAGAATATCATGGGTTTGATACTATTTGGTTACATGTTTAATTATTTACACTGTAAGCCCTGAAATCAGTATCATGTTGTCACAGTCGCATGTGACACATAATCGATTGTCACATTTTTGGAACCTGTCACCTACCCGAATGATTAGTTACATAAAAAGTAAGATTTATCTTACTTTTCTTACTTTTATTACTTTGGTTACTTCGAGTAGATCGACAGCATATAGAACATTTGGGTTTTCATGATTATAGAAGGGAAATGGGTCTTATAAGAGATGTAATATAAATAAATAATGCAGGAGAAATAAACTCCAAATGTAAATAAAACTTTTGTTATAAATAAAGGGCTTCCTAATCAGAAGAAAAGTAATAGCAATATCTCTAAGTTAATACATTTGCTTAAATAAACTTAAAGTATCCAACTCTGTATTAAAGTAAAACTATAACCTAACACAAGCTAATAAACTATCATTAAGCCCATCATCATACACTATTGTCCACCTGTTTGTAAAACACTAAACTACATTTTGTTCATTTACCTTAGTCACATGATCAAGCCATTATGCAAGAGAAAGACTCTGACTCCGATTCGATGTACTGTAACTTCAGAATAAAAAAGAAAAGAGAGGATAAAAGAAGGCTAAGGTTAAAGAAAGCATAGGTTGAAGGAAAGACTTAGAAGAGAAAAGTAGTACTTACCTATAGATAAACCACCCAGTCAAATCTAACATGCCTATTTTGACTTAGCCACCATAGATTACACAAGAATTGAAAAAAATTAGTGACAGACTCACCGATTTGCTGCATGACAACACATGTTTAAATTACTTTGTTGTACATTAAATGCTAATACTTTTGTTACCTACAGATCATGAATAACAGTAACTTTCTTCGACTATTTAAGACAAGAACACTTATACTATATGTCAAGAATATTACAGGTTTGAGACTAACCTCAAATGTTTATAACTCAGAATTAATTAGCATTCTGTTGGGGTTATAATCCTTTGAGGTTTGCTTGATTGGATTTCAAATAGTTTGTCACTATGATGTTTTTTCATGTTACTAACCTTGTGCTTATAAATCAGTTTTTTATAGACAGGCATTTAAACAACAAATATGATCCTTTGAGGTTCACTTGTCTGGATTTCAAATAGTTTGTCACTATGATATTTTTTTTATATTACTAACCTTGTGCTTATAAATCAGTTTTTTTATAGACAGCTACCTAAACAACAATTGTAATTATGGATCTGGATCATAGTGAAGACAACATTGATATAACAGAGTATTTCAAAGAATTTTATAATAAGGATGTTAGTGACATAGCTAACAATATAGAGTCATTATCTTTGAAAGAAGATGACTCATTTGATGACTTTAATAAAGCTGAAGTTTACATACATCGATTTTCTGATTCCAAAGGGTTCAAAATATGACTTGGGCATATGATAATGATAGATACAGCAGAAAGTGGCAAGGAAGTTTATAAATGAACAATTCTCTGTAAACATTCAGATCTATTTAAACCAAAAAATGCTGAGAAGCCAAGTAATTCAGCTTGAATACAATGCCAGTGGCATGTTAATCTTTCATGTTCTTCAAAAGGTAATAATGATTTTCACATATTTGTCACCACTCTAAATGATAATTATAACTATGATTTATTATCTAAAGCAATTCAGTTTGAAAACTATAAACAGTTTACAAAAGAAATGTGAGAAGAAATTAACTTTCTTGTCACTAAATGTCATCTTGGTGCAACTATAGTATGTCATATCTTAAAAGAAAAGTTTACTTCTTACCCTATATTTGCTAAAGATCTTTATGTTAAGATACAGTGATGCTGGCCATTATGTAGTGCAATTAAATGTGATGCATCACAGTTTTATGAGCAACTATTATCCAAACAACATAAAGATTCTTATTAGTTTGTTGAGGTTATGTGGGAAGAAGAAACTAATACTTTGATTAATTTGTTCTGGATGAGTTCTGAACAAATCATGTTATAGTGTGAATTTAATAAGACAGTTGGGCATGATAATACTGCAAGTACTAACAGTACAATATGCCACTTTCTTTATTTGTAGTACAAGATGATAACATGCAGTCTCGTATTGTTGCCCAGGCTTTTGTTTGCAATGAAACAACTGAAACATATCAATGGGTCCTTAAAATGACCAAGAAAGCAACAAATAATAGATGTCCTCATATGTTTGTAACTAATGGTGATCTAGCCATAGAATACGCAGTAATTTTAAAGTATCAAGAGACACAACATCTCTTTTGCATTTGGCATATCAAAGAAAACATCAAAAAAATATTACGAAAGAAGCTGAGAGATCAATTTGATAATTTTTATTGCAAGTTTTGGCAATGCTAAAATGCAGATACTCCACAAGTCTTCGAATACTATTAGAACTAGCTTATAAGCTTTTCTGATGCAAAATTGTACCTTGAGCATCAACTCTATAATAGACGCTTTTTATAGATATATGCATTTACTGCTATGATATTCACACTCGGTATTCAAACTACATTATTTGTTGAAAGTCAGAATACATGCATCAAGCAGGTATTAGAAAATAGCAATACATCACTATGTGAATTAGGTAAAGTATTAATGGAACATAGCAAAGAGGAACAAAAAAAAAAACAATTTGAGGAATAGAAAAGAGGTGTTCCTTTTATGACAAATGCAACTACTATTTTTTCTTCTATTGAATCTTTAGCTAAACGTTACCTGAGATCAAATGTTGCAAACTTTTTAGTTGAACAAATGAAGGAAAGCTTATATTACACTGCTAGTTGTGCTACAGTTGAAGAAATTGAATTACTTACCTCTTATGAACCTTCACAAAGCAAAGATATAGATAACGAGCCTGATGCTATTGTTTTGTATATTATATATCTTTTAGAACATTTAGAAGAAACCTCAATTGTAGAGATTTGAAAAATCTTAAGAGTTACAAATCAAGAAGTTAACTATTTTATATTTCTTCTTTCAGATGGCTCATATAGCTGTATCTGTCTCTTGCAACAAAATAAAGAGCTTGTGTATCATCATTTTTATCATCTTCTAAATATTACTGCTAAGGCACAATTTAGTTTGCAATTAATTGCGCCATGTTGGATTTCTAAATCCCAACGATTAGATGCAGAGAAGAAATATATACACTTTGAACAGTGTTTCAGTAATATTAAGGATAAAACTACTGATACAGATATAACTATAAGCAATAAGAATCATTATATATAGTTATAACTGTTTGATAATAGTAAAACAGAAGAAATTACCAATGATAATTTTATCGATGAAATGCTTTTTTATGGAAAAGCTTGGGGTCTTGCACATATTGCTGTAAACAAATGCATGTTACATCATGATAATAAGTTTATTCTGTTAATTAAGAATTATTTAAATAAGATTTACACTAGAGAGGAAGAATTAGTTAGATTACAAAAAGAAGTAGTGGCCTCAACTAGTCAAAATGTTGCTAAAAGTACAGAAGATAGTATGATCCAACTTGAGAATCCTCAGAAAGTAGTTAGTAGAAAAAGACCAAAGGCTGCAAATTATCATAATAAGGATATTACGAATGTGACATTACAAGAAACAAGTAAAAAAAAACATGGGCAGTATACTTGTGGATTTTGCAAAGAGCTAGGCCATAATATCGCAACTTGTCTGAATAAACCATAAAGTAAGTATAAAGAGTTGTGAGCAAAGTAAGTTTGTTTTTAATAACCCATAAAGTAAGTATACAAGGTTGTAAGCAATGTAAGTTTGTATTGATAGAAATTGTAAATACTTGCGCATATGCTTATAGTGGTGTAAGTTTATACATATTAATTACATTATTATTTGCTTTAATTTACTTATATGCTTCTTTATTAAATAAAAAGTAAAGATCTATTACATAGTAATAGACATGTGACTTTCTTTATTACATATATTTCAGTGACTTTATAGTTTTTGGTAACTATATTACTATGTATCAGTATTGTTAGTCTTATTGCATATAATATGACATTATCATTTCATATCTGTTGCTAATATATAATAAACAATGAACTACTTGGAGTTGACCTAAATTTATTAAAAATCGATTTAGTTAACGATATTGTCTACATATAAGTGATGCCAAAGTGAAAATGTAAAAACTTCATAGCAATGAAGCATTTAATGGAAGCTTAACTAAATGTGTGTATTTTTTTTAAGGTTAGAGTTAGTGTGAGTGTTTTTTTAAAAATTAGAGTTAGGGTTAAGATAGTATAATATATAGTATGAACAATAGGTTTTACTACAAATTTATGAATGTACAAAGTGTGAGCACTAAGAAAGTCCTTTTTTTTAAAGCTAGGGTTAGAGTTAGGGTAGTATGTATAGTATATAATTCACAAGTTTATTAGCCACTTGACTATATGGGTTATAATTGTAACTTAGGTATTACAAATTCATAGGTTTTTAGTCACTTGACTATATGAGTCATTCTAATTGTAACATAGGTATTACAAATGCATATTGACACCTATAAAAGAAAATCGATTTTCTGCTCATGTGACTTTCCGACATCAATAAATTGCTTGGATTTCTTTACATTACACCTGATTCTAATTTTTAATTGGCTAATTTACTTCAGAATATCATATGAGCAGAGAATCGATTCTATGTTATATATTGCATTATAATTAGATATTGTATAACAATTGTCATTACAAGTATAATCATGTGATTATACTTGGCATTATATAAAGGGGTGCACCATGGTGCATGATGCACCATTTTTTAAAATCCTTTTTAAAATACTATTTTTAAATCTTTAAATTTTTTCTATTTTTAGATAACTTTTATTTGTTATTTATTAATGCTTAATTCTTACATAATAAAATAAAAACTTATGCTATAAATTAGTTAAATCTGCTGCATAAATTACTTAAGAATAAAATCTATTTAGTATATTTAGTACATTTTTATTATACAAAAAAATATTCTTTATATAATCTATTTAATAGATTTTATTAATTTACAATACAGGTTTTATCTTGTTATATTATAAGATGTTACATTTTCTTAAGCCATATTGATATTCTAAAAAAACATACATATTGTCATAACATAATCAAGAAATTTGTAATCCAATACAGTATATTCAATAATAATGTCTTGCTCCTAATTGCTGCATATAATCATAATTAACTAAAATTAAATAAAATATGCATAATCATTCCAAAAACTCAAATAATTGAAGGTTCAATATATATGATTAAATTAGGTTGAAATACAATTGAAAAGTGCAGGTTTCAAAAAGGTACATAGAATTAGAAAAGGAATTTGTGTTAAAAAAAAAAGTATTAGTAAGGTGATAAAGTTTGAATATGAATAAATAATAAAGAAACTTACTCAGTAGAATTAAAATACAATTGGTGAAAGTAAAATTAGTAAACACTCTAAAAATAGAATAAATAATTAATAAAGAGAAAACTATATAAAAGCAGTAGCAAAATAATAAATAAAAAATTATCTTTTGCAATTTTAAAATTATAAAAATTGAAGGCTTCTATATAAAAACTAAAAGACATTAATAACTATATATGTATATACTAAATAAAACTATTAAATTAAATAAAACTATTAATTAAAAAAAAAAAAATACATGTCTACTAGAGGCCTGCATTGGGTTCTGCAGCCTGGCTCAGCCCAGTCTGGCCTGCAAATTTTTGTGAGCCAGGCCAGATCTGAAGCAAAATTTTATAATTGCAAGCCAGGCTGGGCTGAAAAATTTGCAAAACATTATAAGTGCAGGTTAGTGCAGCTCTAAAATTTTGTAAAATTATATAAGAAATTTTTGCAAACTGGGCCAGACCAGGCTGGCAAAAAAATAATAACTCTAAATATGGGCCAGGCCAGACTAAAAAAAATTTTAACTCTAAATGTGAGCCAGGCCAGGCCTCAAAAATAGGCAATTCACAGGCCCCTAATGTCTACTACAACTCACTTTAATATAATTTATATTGTTTTATTACTAGTTAACAAACTAATAAGCTTTGGCATAAATGAAATACTGCCTTTATATAAGTCTTAGTTTAATATAAGTTTAAACTTAAGCATAAGTTATTTATTCTTTTTTAACTATAGTTTTAACTATTTGTATAAAACAATATTTACTAATCAAAAATCAAATATTATAAATAGTAATAATATTAAAATGTTATTAAGAATATTACTTTTCAAAATTATTATTACTAATAATGTGAAAGAACAAGCCTATCTAGCATTATTTGACTGAATTCATAGAAGTCTCGAAAGAAAAGTCTAATGAATATAACTAATTCACTATTTGTATTACATATAAAGAAGCACAAAAAAATTCTGTGCCAGGTTGATAGCATAGCAAAAAATTTAAAGTTTATTAATGTTAGGGTTAGCGTTTAGAATAAAGTTAAAATCTGGATGTTTGAATAGTAAAATTGCTTAAGGAAAACTTTTTGTTAGAGCATTAAAAGTGATTTTTTATGCAGTTTTTGAGAAATAAGAAATCTTTGACAAAATGAATATTGTTTTGATCATATTACATTACACTTGATCCTTGAATATGATTTGTAGATTGACAATCTGTGTCATAATGATCGACAAAACCTAACACAGAATTTTTTTGTACTATAAAGAAAAAAGAGGTTACAACTATATATATTCATATAAATTTGTTAATACAAAGTAACTTGTTAAGTTATATTAAAAAAACTATATATACTTTAAAAATAAAAAAGAGAAAAGTGAGACTAAAAAATATTTAATAATACAAATAATGAAAAAACAAAAAAGAAGTATAAATGTAAATACTATATAAGTTATATTAGTTTTTTGTCTATAGATTTAAATTTAATACTAACTTCAAAATAATAATAATAGATAATACTAATGAATTTAGTAATCAAAATCAAAGTGAATTAAAGAAATATAAGGGTCCATTAGATTACTATGTTATATATGATTTTTTTAAAGCAAAATAATCAAAATTTTATTATTTGCTTTTTAAAATGACAGTTACAAATAGATAAAGCTTTAGATGAGTTGAAAACCCAGATTTATTAGCTGCTTTTAAGTACTTTAACCATAAAATTACACTTTTATCTCATAACCTATTAAGTAAAAAAATTTTAGATAAAGCTGTTTATGAATTTATATTTAAAATTGAGAAAACTGTACAAAAAGATAAAGTAGAAATTACTGTAACTTTGGACAGCTGAACTAATGTAATTAACTAGAACTTATTAGAAAGTGTTTTAATTACTTCTTCTGATATGCTTCTAATATAGAAAGCTTAAGATATTAGTACTAAAAGATTATATACTATTGACATTATCTTAAAAATTGAAGAGTTATTAAATAATTTAAAATTTAATAATATCAAAACCATAGCTTTAGTAACAGATAGTGTTGTAGCTTATATTGTAGCAAGGTAATTGTATTATTCTAAGATTTTTAACTAATATTATAAATTTACTAATATTAATTAGAGCAATAGATCTTGTTACTTTATATTAAATAAATTAATAAATAAATTTATTTATTTTCTATTGTATAGAAAACAACTTCAAGTAAAGCATACAAATAAGATTTTCTTATCTGTTTTGCCTATCAGGTTAATTTGTGTGTTGACAAGATTTTTAAGGAATTACCAACTTTTAAAAAGGTTATTGACAATGTAACTACTATAACACTGTATTTTAGAAATGTTAATTATGCATATTTTATTAAAAAACTAAGAGAATAGCAAGAAATTTTGTATCATAAATATGTAACTCTTATTAAGCCAGATATAACTAGATGAAATTCTTACTTCTATTATTTAGAAAGTCTTTTCAAACAAAAGAAACTCTTAAAGTAAATAATTTGATTAAATTAGTAAATTATTATTGTTATTAATTAATTATTAATCTAAATATTTTTAGATGTTAGTTGCAAAATATAAACTCTGTAATAATTTAAGTAATGAATTCTTCAATTTCCAAAGTACTTCTGATTTGTTACTGCCAAGCAAAATATATAATATTATAAATAATGATAACTGATAGCAACAAATAAAGAATATTAAGTCTTTATTGTTATCTTATTGTACTTGTCTCAACTTGTTACAATGTGACAAAGCATGATTATTTGAAGTATTGCACTCTTTTGGTTATTTGGCTAAAATGATCAATAAATATTATGATAATAATCTTGGCCAATAACTTTTGAACTATCTAAAAAAGTAATAAATTTCTAAGAACAGTCTTTATTAATCTTATCTTTTGTTCTTCATCCAATGTACTAAATAGAAAAATTTAATTCTAAATAAAAAATTTAACATGAGTTGATATAGATAAATATATAAATATTACTATTATGAATGGTTTGGTCAACAACCAAATTCAATTTTATGAAAGCTTGAGCATTTTTACCAAAAACAATTACTATTTAATGCAACAATATCAAAACAATTTGGCAATGATATAATTAAATATTGGAGCTATTGTGCATTATATGCTAAAAAACTAGGATGTATAGCATTACAAATTCATAGAATATGCATAAATGCAACATTTGTTGAATAGCTTTAATCATCAATAGGATTTATTTACTCTAATCAATATAATAGATTACTAGTAAATTTTTATTTTATTATATTTTTTTATTTAATTTATTTTAATTAAGTATTTTATAGTTTCAAAAAGTATTAGCAATTAGCCAATTATGTAGAATTTTTAATCAAGATCATCAGATTCAGGAATTAGATAAACTCAAAAAGCTTTATAAATTAATTTCAACAACTTTTACTATTCAAAATACTAATAGTGAAGATAACTGCATTGAAATTAATAATATTAGTAAAGATAATAAAGATTCTATTACATTATTAGCATTAATTTCTAATGATGTTTTTGATAAAAATAATTCATCAAGTTCAGAACCAACTGATATTAATAATAAGTCATTAGTTAATTAAAAATATATAATAAAAGATTAGAGGGCCAAGTAGCTATTAAATAATTTGTTTTTGACTGATCTGAAAGCACTATTTTTTAGTATTCTTAATAATGAATAGTAGTTTTTAAAGTCAAATAGATGATTTAGGGGTTTTTTTTTAAAATAAAATATGCATAATGCAATTATTTGAGCCCAAAATATAAAAATTTATAATATTATAGTGTTCATTATATAATCTAATATACTTCTTATCTAAATTTATTAATTTAATATATAAATGTTTACATTTATATGAGAAATAAAATTTAAATAATTTAAGTAATTAATGTTAAAGTTAATAACTTAAAATTCAACTTTACTTTATTTCTAACTGTACTAAATTAGGCATAGTTCAAATGCATAGCAATGAAGTTTCAAAGTGATGACATAGTGAACAATCAGGTAGTAGGAATTAGTAAGAAAAACCTAAATAAGGAAAAAGAAATTAGTTAGTAAATAATATAAAAGTATATATAAAATATAACTTTATACTTATCTTCAGATCCTTTAATATCTTTGTGAAGCCTAGAAAGGGCTAAAGATTATAATAAAGAAACTGTTATTGTTAAATAAAAATGTTAGTTATTATTTAGTTTGTTAGTTTGTATAGTAATAAACAATAGAATAGTAGTAAAAATATACTTACCATATCATTAAACACCTCAAGTAAAGAAGCCTTTTTAAGTTTGCTCTTGACAGTATTATGTTAAATTAAAATCTAAGTACTGAATTTTATTAAGATTAGAATAAAGTCTGGTTAGAATAAAGGTAGATATTAGCAGAATTGTAATTAATTTAATTTGATGCAAATATCAATTTGACATATAACATATATATATATTTAATTAATATGTATATTGTAGCAAAAAAATATGATTTGGCTCCAAATATATAACAAGGATTATGACTAAGAAAATATAATCTAAGTAAAACATTTAATGCATAATTATTAATATATAAAAATAGCATTTAATAAATTCTGTTTCAGATTTGGCTTAGGTAAGAATTCTATAGTGAACAGTAATATAGCATCTCTTATTATTGGTAGTATAAGTAAAGCTTACAGTTTTATAAATAAGTATTATTAGCTATAGATTTATCCAATGCCTTAATATTAGTTAATCTTTTGATTAGGTTATATATAAAAATCTTTTGTTTTATATAGCTAGAAGAAGAAAATATAAATCAATATATACCTAAGAATTACTGATAATATTTAAACATTTGCTATATTGAATAACATAACTCAAATGCTACTTAAACTAATATTTGAACTACTATTCAATACTATTATATGATTTTACTTATATGATATGTTGAATTGTATATCATTTAACAATGAATATTTTAAATTTTACTAATAGATTTTAGTAATAGTAGAATCTCTAGTTCTTAAACCAAATCTTTTATGTCTTCTTTTAGGTGGTATTTATTGAGTTCTGTTTTATTGTATTCTTGTTGTAAAAATATAGTGATTCAAATCTATTTTTTCTAATATATATATATAATAATTTTGCAAATAAGATTAGAATTGGCAGTAGGTAATTGGACTTATTGAATCTGAACTATGCTCAAGTATATGTCTAATGTTCAGTTTAGTTCAATAGTACTAAAATTAGATGAACAAATATCCAGTACCAACACTGTGTTCACAGTAGTGGCAGCAGTGTGAATCTTTAACTTAAGGTCTGTTAGTGTTAGGAGTAGCTACATAGTTAGTAGATTAAGGTTGAAGTGGTTGCTATTGCTATACTAAGTTGATACTAAGTTTGGCAATCTGGTCTGTTACCTGTTAATAGCTTGGTCTGTTTCTGTCATAGTGTTAGTAGCCATTACATAATTAGTTTTCTATTGTTTTGCAATAGTGATAGTAGCATTTAAGTTAGCAAGTTTACTAGCTTGCATATTAATAGAAAATTTAGAGCATAGTTCTTAAATAAATAGTTGTTTAATGAAGTCAACAGGGAAGGCATTACTAGGATTAACTCATCTTTTTAATTGTCTAAATCTGTTAACATATGCATCTATTGTGTCTGAGCCTTGTTTGATATCAAAAGGCTGTTTTTGCAAAATAGTTTTTTGTTTTGAAATATAAAAGCAAACTCTAAAAAGATGTTTAAAGCTTCTGTCTTAGTAGGCATTATTATTAATAGCATTTGAAGCAGTGTGAAGACTTTGGCATTAATTTAATACAATTCTTTTTAAATATATAGAAGTAAGCACCAATTTTTAAGCAGCATCCCACTTGTTAGCAGTAACAGCTCTTCAAAAATCTTAAAACCATTGTTCTGAGTTTTGAGTTCTATTATCATAAAAGAAGTTAGCCTTTATAAAAGCTTTTTTACTTCTATTTAAAGCATTAGTAAGGTTAGTTATAGCTTGTATAGCATCTTGTAAAGCTTGTTGTATTATGTTATTAGATAGATTAGATAAGTTATTAAGAATAGATAAAAGTAAAAGAAGAAACTAAGATTGAAGTTAAATAGATTGAGGTTGAATAGTGATAGGATGGAGTAAAGGAAAAGCAAGTTGATATAGAGGTAAAGAAGAAAAGCTATCTTTAAAAGTGTGTTGTTAAGATGAGTTAGTAGAAGTATAATATGAGCTAGGGGTTTTTGTAAGGTCTACAGAAGCAGTAATATATTCTTCTGTTTCTAAATTATCAGTAGTTAATAGAAGAATTTGTGAAGTCCAATTAGAAGTGTAATAGCTTTCAAAAAGCTTAGTAAATTTAACTAATTCACTATAAGAAGCTAAGCTATCTTCTGGATTGCATAAGAAGAGAATATTATTAGTAAAAGTAATATTAGTAGTAGGTAGTAGAATAGGACTTTCTAAATTTCCAAGATGTTAACTAAATTCTTCTAGTTCTTTGAAACTAAAACTTAGAAGAGCAGTGAGATGAAGGTTAAAAATGTTTTAGTATTCAAAAAGTAAGATAAGAAGTTAAAAAAGATTGGTATATCTTCTAATTAAAGTTAAAGTGATTGTTCTAGGATTACCAATGTTTTGTTGATATCGACAACTAAAAATAATATCTCTAATGCAAAAGTGAAATATAATTCAATTTGGATATAGGCTAGTAAAGATGAGAAATAATGTTAAGCTACAAAGTTGGTTCTGTACCAAGTTCAAAATTGTCCAAAAAATAAGCAAGAACTAGTATGTCAAGGAAAATAACACTGAAGACAAGATAAATCTAGATGCTGTACTTGAAGTATGTCTACTGCAAGATGAAATCTAGTTAAGTATACTTGTTGATGGCTTTGAATATTCTTATTGTAAAGTTTAATAGTAATATAAACTATAAAAGAAGAGGTGTTTATACTTCTAAAACTCTGCCAAAATAACTAATACTCATTTGGGTCTTTTGTCAAAATAACTAATACTTATTCAGGTCTTGCTAAAATAACTAATACTCATTCAGATCTCTTGTTAGAATAACTTTTCTAATATGTCCAGAAATGTTTTATTTAAGATAACTTGTTATTTCTAAAAATTTAGCCTTTCTGCCAGAAAACATCAAATGTTATAAGTGAAAGTCTTCTTAATTTTTATACTATAATGATAACACAGCACAGAAAATCTCTTATGGGTATATGCAGTGTCCAAGAAAGAAGTATAGCTTTTGTTAGACATTTTTAAGAAACTATACCTTTTTCTAAAGCAGTTCAGGAAAGGTAATGCAATACTAATAAGTTTACTTTATTTTACTAAGTGAAAATAAATCTTGTGTTTGATGTAAAAAAACACAAGACTAGAAAAAAAAGACTAATATAACAAACAACATGAAAAAAGATGTTCATACAAAGGAAAATTAAATAAAAAAAAAAGAAAAGACTTACAAACAAGAGAAGAAGAAAAAGAAAGAAAAATAAAGAAAGCAAACCAGATAAAGAAAAAAGCTTTAAAAACAATTAATATGCTTGTTACAGAAGAGAAGAAGCCCTTCTGGTATGGCTTTAAGTAGTTAGATGAGCAGTCTATCTCTAACTAAGATAGTGTAGCAGGTTGCACTTAGATACTATAAGGGTGGCCAAGTGATGCTAGACTTGGGTATTGGGAAATTCTATGTAATTGTATAAATGTATATAGTTTCAAGAATTTTAATAAAGTACTAGCATAACTGCTTAAGGTTAAAAAAAAAAATAAACCTTGTTTGTAAAAATTACACTAAAGAGTAAGTATTAATACAGTTTATAGTTAAAAGCTATTTATTAAAGTAATAACAAGAAGTGCTATTCTTAGATTTCTGTTTTTAAAAAATCCCAAAATGTGTTTACAATATTAAAGAGAAAAGAAATATCTCTTGCTTAATTATATTTGAAAAATTTAGTAAAGTTCATATATCTGTGAACTAAGGAGCTAAGCAGTCAAATGACTAAGCAACTAAGCATTTAAGCAACTAAGCATTAAGTAATTAAGTAACTAAGTGACTAAGTGATTACTAAGTAACTAGAAGATTCTAGCAATTAATAACTAATAATTACTAAGTGACTAAGTGACTAGATAACTAAGTAACTAAATAACTAAGTGACTAAGCAACTAAGGAATTTAGGTAACTAAGTGACTAAGTAATTACTAAGTAACCAGAAAGTTTTAGCAACTACTAGTAATAATAATACAATAATAAATAACTAATACTAAATAATACTAATAATAAATAGTAAATAATAATAATAAAATAATAATAATAACTAATAATAATAAAATAATAATAATAAGAACCAAAGTAAAAGGATGTAGGGCCCATAGCTTAATTGTTAAGCTTCCATACCCCCACAGTCAAGATCAATGGTTTAAGTCTGGCTGAAGGCAAAATCAAAAGATTTTAGCCTCTGTAACCTATAAGGAGCCAGTAATTGAACACGAAGCCCTATAGTTAAGTTCAAGTGCAGTACATGATGGAAAAAGGAATTCTCGGAAGGAGATCGACTTTGCAGAGAGCAGGCACTACGGATGACAGCAGTGTCACAGAAG